TTTTTTGTAGTACTATTATTTTGTTGTATTAAAAAAAAAATTATTAAGAAATATTCAAAATTTATAATAATTATTGCGTAAAAAACTACCTTGTATTATTATTTTAATATACATGATGGCCAGAATTCTGTTCGCAAATAACATATATTTTCTATTTAATAAAGTCCACACCAAAATCTAATGAAAAACTTGAAAATAATTACACTAAAATGATATAAGCAAAATTTCCAAGAATATAATTATTAATACTAACAAACAAGAGATCACAATCGTACCATAAACAACATCATCAAAAATAATCGCATTGTTTAAAAATATTCTGAACTCACTTGATTATTACCAGTTTTGTGCTGTACAACTTTAAAGCTAATACGATTACAATATATATATACATATATATATACATAGATATATTTATAGTCGTATATGAGGAAAACAAAAATAAAACTAAAAGTAAAAATAACCACACATAACTATAAAAAATTTCATGCAAATCACTACAAACTACAAGATACAATTATCTAAATTTTTTATTTCCTATTGTTGCAATGCCAATTTGAGTAGTCAAAGGTGGAAAAATCAACTCCCACTTTAATCATGACAGATACATTTCAATGCCGTCCATTAAACCAAGTAAATATATTTGAATTTTTCAATTTTCTCTTGAATGGCAAATTTTATTTGAAATGCTTTTTTCTAATGATTATGATTAAAGAAGGAGGAAGAGGGGGAGGAGGAAGAAGATTCGTGTCTCTGACGATTTGTCCGTCCATTAACAATTTGAAGAGATTATGCAATTGACTTTTTACAGTAACTGTTACTTTTCTTATTGTAATCCTTTTTTGTGTCTATTTTTATAGGAAAGTCACGTATTTTATGGTCTAGACATGAGAATCTGTAGATTTAGAAAGAGGAAGTTTTTAGTGAGTTTTTTTTTTTTATTAACATCTTATAGTTGTATTAAAAGTGACAGAAGTGTTATTCCCTGCGGTGAAACTAAATTGAAAAACAGTCAGAAAACGATAAGAAAACTAATTGTGAAATTTTTTTTATTTAACTTAAAATTTCTAGTTAGTTTACTATCAATTTTTTTTAAATACATATAATTTTTCAATTTTTTTTTTATATACATATCAAAAAAAAATATATATATACATATAAATATATTAGCAGAATTTTTATAATTTTAAGTTTTTTTAAAAACTAACTAAATTCTTTATAAATTATTTTAAACAATAAATATAGGCATATTTAATTAATTTTCCTCGAAACATTTTCGTATCATAAATTTAAAGACTCAATTTGCCTTTTAACATCAAATAAATAAAGATAACATTTAACCTTCAAGTAAGTTCTTGAATTACATTAGTTTTACTCATTTTATTGTTATTTTCACTGAACAGAAACAATGCCAATAAAACGTAAGACTTAAGCGACAAACCAATATAATAACCATCCATTAACAATGAAAAAGACATGCCATGGCGCAGAAGGTTAATGCAGCGATTCCCAACAATGAATGAAATCAGTTAAAATCTTTTATGCTTTAAGTATTTTAACTGCTTTAATATTTTAATACATTTTCTTGAATATGTTAGTTAAATTTTTTAATTACTTAATTTCGATTTTCTTATCTAAAAAATATATTTATAAAAATAATAATCTTTTAACATACAAAACGGAAAAAAAAATAAAACATCTATTTTACACTATATTTTTAGATATTTTTTTAATAATTATCTTGAGCCTTTTCCGAGTTAGTGCATCTGGGCATTTTAACTCTTTGATAGCTGGGGGTTTCTGCAGAGTCCCACTCATCTCACTGAGTAATTTGTGTATTCCTCATAAGTTTCGTGATTATACAATGACTAATCTATGATCTGCGTATCGTTCCGTGCAGTTAGTGATTACTCTGAGATTAGATAGTGCTAAGTAGGACAGCCTGTCAGTTTTCGCATATAGCTTCAGGGCTCTGTTAAACCGGATCTATTTTAAGGTCTCATAGCATGTCACTTGTGCGAATGTACTGCCATGGTACTGTCGGCAGCTTTGCTATACGTGATACACCCATAAAGTAGTGCTGGTCTAATTATCTGGCTGTAGATCAGCTTTTTGTTCTTTGCGCTATGCAGTGTTTTTGTGCCAAGTGAACCGCTTATCAAACGTTATTTTTAGGTATTTAATGTTGTCCTCCCACTTAATCGCGATGTCACCAACTCTCACTCTCGGTGGATGTTGGCTGCGTTTACCAATAATATTTCTAGAAGAACTCCATGATGAGCATAAAATCTTATATACAATATCTGTCGAAATGTATTGAAAAACAAATATTATATATACAGTGTGTATATATGTTTATATAATTACCAATACGAATTATTGATTGATATACTGGCTCATGGTTTAACACTGAAATTAATATACATTTTTTTTATTATATTACTATTAAATTTATATAGTAATGTATAATGAATAAAAACTTATAAGCATCGCATCTTAAATCTTACTTTGACAGATTCTCCAGGCAAGTCAAGTGAATTATTAAAAGTGAGTATGTTGTATAAAAACAAGTTGATCATGTAAAAATAGTATACTTTCATACTTTCTTAGTCAATCTTGTAGATTGATTATACCTAGTTCCAAATGAATTAATCATTAATAGTTTTTTACTACAACATACTCGTACTAGTATTTAAGTTGATTATAATTAAAGATAATTAGGGAAAAAATCATAGAAATTTGCAAAAATCCATTTTACCTGCTATTAGAAAGTACAACAAATTTAAAACTTTATTTATTAATTAACATTTAAATGCTTGTAGACGTAAAACATGCATCGTTAATTTTGTAGGCCGAAAAAACACACTTTCACGTTTGAGGTTTAGACATGCTGCGCTGGATCGAAATTGTGCAACTTGCTTACTGCAATAATCTGAAGTAAGCTGAATATTATTAAACTAGATTTTAAAAATAACTTTTAGAAAAAATCTTAACTCACAATCTATGCCATACTTAATTCTTTCGAATCGCAATGAATTCTTCTTCTTTGTTATTACATGTACAGGCAGCACTTACCCACTTATGAGTTGTACTTTGTGTAACTAAATTAGTGTGTGAGTATGTCTGAATTATTATAAACTGGATATCTGGCTATTACTGGCTACTTTGAAAATAGATTATAAAAACTAAACCAAGCAATATTGTAGAATAAATGTTAATACAAACTATGTCTATCGATACAAACTCAAACTCAAGCTCAAGCTCAAGCTCAAACACAAAAATAAAAAATAAAAAATAAAAACATATTTCTAGTGCAATTTTTATAAGCACTTACTCCCTCCCATCGCAGAAGATAACAACAACAACAACTTGGAATAAAATTGCTCCAACATGTGCTAATGCCACAACCACAACAATTAAATCTCCAAGAATACGTGTTTGAGTGTAAGGAAAAATAAATGGTAAAATAATAAAAATGGTTATATCCAGTCAGTCAATGGGTGTAGCAGACTGCACAGCAATTGCCAGCCGGTTTGCAACTAATTTACTTTGGAATCCTGTTCAATCTGGCACTGGCTTTTAGCAGCGAAATTATTATTAAATACTTTTTTTAAAATAATTGTCCAGCTCTACGTGTTGATGCAGTAATATTTTAAAATTTTTCTAAACTAAAATCTATATGCAGTCAAGATTAATTTAATAAAAACGCTACACACGAAATATGAAGAGCGTAATCCATTTTATGGTCCCAAAAATAATTACGTATATATAAAAAAATTTGTAATAAAGATTTTGATAAAATTTGAATTTCAATATATTGTTGAGATCTTGACATTATTATTCAAGTCTTCTCTATGTGATCGAGTCCTTTTGTGATTATTTTTAACGACTTGCCATTATATAGCTGGCCGTAGGTTGAACATAATTTCATAGATGATCATTTTGACAGCATGAGTAGTTTGAGGATTGTCCATATAAAAATTATCTTTTGTGTAAGTCCATAAAAAAATCCACTAAAGCTAAATTGATTGGTCTTGTTAGCTTTTATTTCCGGTTGAAATTCCATATCTTCTATATCCATGTCTGTAATTTCGCACAAAAAAAAAAGTATGCCTAAAGTTTAAGTTTTCAGTATAATATAATATAATATATACGAATATCAATTTTAATTTGCAAATTAGATATAATGCACTTAGAAGTTACTGTGATTGTCTTAATATTTTTTAAATTTTTTTGTTATTTATTAAATTAAAGGTTTTTCTCTTCTTAATCCTTCCAGGTGCGCATAAAGTGCACTGCACTGAAGATTTGATGCGTGTTGAAATCGGTCTGCCAGACATCAGTAGCAACAGCAATAATGAGAAGCCACAAATATACCTTGAGGGATTGAAAGGTTATCCAGACGAACGTTGTCAGCCCGAAATAAACGGTTCATTGGCAGAATTTCGGCTTTCGTTAAGCGATTTTTATGAATGTGGCGTAACGCGCATGGTTAATCAATTAACGGTAAGTGCTGGCATGCACTATGGGCGTAGTTGGCCTGTACAAGCAGTTTTAAAATTTTAAAATTTGTTTCCTTTTGGTTTTAGGGTAAAAAAGTTTACTACCACAAAATTATAATTGAAACTGGTAACGGTAAGGAAATCGTCAGTGTTAAATGCATTACCAGCGGTCCAACTTACAACGTACTACTGAACGCCACAACACGAGAACAGCCACGAATCGTGCTGCAGCAGCAGCAGCAACATCATGGAATCGTTAGAAGAGATGTATTGCCTGCTGGATTTCAAGAGCCAGAGTAAATATTACAATGATATTTAAAAAATATTTTTTTTACATCTGTTTCAACATATCAAAAATAAATCACATCATTACTTATACAAATTGATTGACATCAAAAATGCAAATTTTAAAAGTTAATTGCCTCTGTATATGGTTAGCGTGCTGCAGAACTCCAGTGTGCATCTAAAGATCACATTGATTCGAGCCATCCAATAACCACATTTGCACAGTAATTGCTAATGAATTTTGTGCTTAAGCATATGCCCAGCACATCAACTGCGTAAACGCAGATAATAAATACTTGTATCTTCGGTACAATAATAATTACTGGTTAGGGACTTCGGTATAATGCAGGCTTATATGTTACTTCCTTTTGATGCAATAATTTCACATTAGTTGGGCGTTGTCCTATTAATTGTGAAGATCATTTGAAGGGAAAAATCAAAGTAGGAAACTACAGTGACTTTGCTACATGTTACATGAAGTTCTTGCTTTACTTATATCATGATATTTAGTATAGATTGATTACATTAATTAAAGACACAACAAGCAACAAATTTACAAATATCATCAAAAAAAACTTAACATAATTAAGTAACAATTTTTATAATTACAGCGACTTAGAAATCACCACTTCATTAACGAATCATGCACCTGAGCCGCGGTTGGCTATTGGAGTGATACAGAATGGAAATAAAGTAAATGGCGATTTAACTATAGTGCCCGGCACTCCTTTGACAATGGAAATTAACTTAGACCGTGAATCAGCGCCAGTTTATGGCTTAGGTGTTAATTACTTGGAAGTAACTGACACTCGCTCCCTATCAGAGACCATAATTTTTAAAGGGTAAGTATTGTGCTAAATGATTTTGTTGTAATATTAAAAAGACAACAAAACTTGAAACATTATTATGCGTCATTCAAACAGTATTAATTAAAAGTTTTGAAAATGTGTATTATGATAAAAAGAATCTGTTCAGTTATATATACCCAACACGGTTACAATGTTATTTTATCATGTAAGAAAGAAAAACGTTGAGATTACCATTATGCAATATGCAGCAATTTGATTCCAGAGCAACAAGATTCACGATATCATAATCTTCTTGACGCTTTGATTTCATTCTTAGCAATGCGAGAATGTCAGTCTTCTTGCAATACGTTTTCTCGGTTTATGAGTGTTCAAATTATATGTATACCTAGACACAGAAGCGCTTTGGGTAATTGTAATGTTGACGGAAAAGTAGCCACACTGCTCTCTAAACTTCACTTCCCGGACAACGGCTAAACTGGCCATCAACCAAAAATTTATAGTGGTAGCTAAAAAAACTCTGGATAAATGAAGATATTTATCAGCTTACGAGGCTTACTTTATCCAATTTAGACAAGAAACTTACTAGTCACACAGCTGCTTTAATTAAAACTAAACCTATTCATCACAACGGTATCGGTACTGACAAATCACTGCGTATTAGGGAGACATGCTATGATGTTTAGGCTACATTTCTCTTAGCTGATACTCATAGTGACTATTGTCTTGGCTATGGCTCTGCAAAAGACGAAGGAAATGTATTTCATCTAACATTTAGTGCCCATCTTTGGCAAGTAGATGGCATAATATCTTTGGGCCCCTTGTATTACTTCCAAATTAGGGACATAATCAATTTTACACATTTGCTGTTGTCTACGTGATCTCTTGCTCTTCCGTTTAAGCAACGGTTTTATTCGTGGTATAACAATTACGGATAAACTCCAAATAGGCTTTGGTGTGCAACGCCGCCACTCCAACGTAATCTAACCTAAGGCATTATGTGATCGGAAATTTTTTACTATATTTTTTGGTTATACATAATTGAATGAGACTCACAAAGTATCTGGTCACACTAAAGTTAGTAATACAGTTATACGAACAGAAATCTACTGTAGAAGTACCTATAATCTATAATTAAGATTATGATTATTGGTTGGACAATGTCCGAAAAATATCTTCTTAAGAGCCATATAATTTGCATCTTATTCATTATTTTACCTACAGGTAAAAGCCCATTTTTCACATATTTCCGTGGTATCCGAACGGGTTATTATTTGAGCTCAAGATTATGATTCCAACCTAACCCTACGATATGTGTTCTCTACACACAAACTTTCAATTACATCTATTAATTGTTTAACAAATCCTATTATATACTAATTCATTTTGTAATTATCTTTTACAGCTGTACTGTAGATCCTTATCTCTTTGAAAACTTCAATACAATTGATGGTGACGTTTTGAATGCTAAATTTAAAGCTTTCAAATTTCCGGATTCCTCATATGTACAATTCCGTGCCACAGTGAATGTATGTTTGGATAAATGTTTGGGAACACAATGTTCCAATGGGCAAATTGGTTATGGCCGCAGAAGACGTGATACTTCTGAAGCTCTGAGCGCCACAACGCTTATGGACACAAATAAAGTGTATGAAATCTCTTTGGCTACATTTATAAAAATAAACGATATCGAAGGCGTTAACAGAAGTGAGTATACATATTATATAGCAAAATATAGTAATCGAATTAACTTTAAATTATAGATGAAGTACTCCAGTTGGAAGAGAAGTTACGTGAACTGAAATTAGCAAATCAGCGCTTAGCACGCAACAGTCGCGGCAATTTCGTTGAAAGTTTTAAAGGCGTCGAGCAAGCACCAATGTCAGTTCCTGCATTCGTTGTTGATGAAAAAGAATTAAATCCGGCAAATACTGGAACACAAATAATGGGCTTCAATGCCTACTTCGTCTTCATACTGCCAGTTACCGTTTTACTTTGTAAACTGTTGTAAATATTTCTGAATAAACAAATTTTATATTCAGCTTAAACATATAAAGATACTTACACTTTAAGGAAAACCCGTGTAAATCTCAATAATATTTGAAACAATAATTTTATCAGGTTATTTTAAGAGATCTTATTCAAATCAGATATATTCTTAAAAATTAAATATATATACTAAAACTGCCATTTTAAAATATTTAAATATTAAATTTAACTTTATTAATAAAAAAAGTATTTTTTGTATTAACAAAGACATTTGTATAATATTAGTAACTAAGCATGGCAGCTAATAATTACTTTAATTATTCCTCTTAATATTAGTGTTAAAAGAAAATATGAATTGTAGTAATATTAATTATATAGAAATATATATTTGTATAATCATAATATTTTACTCAAAATTGAGGGTTCTAAAGAACCTTGAATTGAATAAAAAAGAAATAATATAACATTTTCTAACATGTAAGCATTACTAGTCTTCTAAGTTTAACAGCTAAGTTATATTCCATCGATATTAATGACAATAATAATATAATTAAAAAAAAAACAAAAATAAAATAAATAAATAAATACAGTCTAAAAAGATTTTTATTACTATTTCTTTATATTAAACTTATATCAGTGAATTGTATTGCATCAAATAATTTAAAATACCAATAGAATAGAGTTAGAATAGATCTTAATCTGTATAGGTTCAAGCAGAACTGTTAGGTTAACCGAACAGTAAAAATACAACCCTGAATTTTAATTGTAATAAATCAAATATTATGGTTTAATTGCAAAAACAATTACATGGCTTGGCGTGAATCTGAAAGCATCTCATAACAAGAATACTAGAGTATACAGTGATAAGTTTTGCTTATAACTAAGATATATATAAAGAGAGTTGAGTCACTGAAAACCTATAAAGATATGTTTAAAGATAACGCATAAGAATAGTCGATCAGAAATAGAATAAGTATAAGAAAAGAAGAGATAATACATTGGAGAACAGAAAGCAAACTAAATAAATATTCCATGTGTTACTAGCAATAATGTTCATTATTTAAATATATAGTTTCCATAAGTGGACTATTATTTATTGTTAGTATTTATGCTAAATTGTGCTTGTACAGATTAATTTCTTTGTAATTATAGAAAGAAAATATATATGAAATTTATTAGTGCCAGAATAATGTCACACAAAAAATCATATTCAGTTTCTGTCAGTTCGATAGAATACCTGAACACTTAAGATAAATATCTGAATATCGTAGTCTTTATTTTACTTACTGAGGTTATATGTATTCGATATCTTTTTCAGAGTCTTTTCACATGCTTTACAGGTCATGTTTTTTATAAAACATTCACACTGTCTTATTTAGGCGGTTTTGATCATTGTAGTCACTAATGAGGATGATTTACCATACGAAAATCTTTATTATAAATGAACTTATTATTAATAAATCAGCTCATTTAAAGCAAAAAATGTCTAATACAACCTTTAAAAATAAATTTTTCCCTAGGGGAATCTCTAAAGTTTTAAATATGTGTCACATGTTTTATGTATAAAAAGTAACCAAACAATTGAGCTGTAAACAAATGCAGCTTTATTTATAAAAATGAACAAGTAGCTAAATGAGACAGTGTTTATGTAATCTTATATTGATTTTGTAACTACGTACGTCCAACTCTTTATTTTCCGTGGTATGTCGTTTTCAAAGAAATGCAATCATTAAATATTTGTTTACCTTTTTTTTGTAAATATGTCAAAAACAGCTTTATCAAACTGTCATAATGCAATGAAATACTTTTATTTAGGGCATGTTCAATATATTTGTTGGCATTTGGAACGTATTTGAAACTCATTTGAAACTTGTTGGAATGCATTTGTACAAAATTGTGCCAGTATAATCTCATTTTCGCATATGCGATTTTGTTTGCGAAATAAGTCATTTGCTTTTCATTTGTGATATTTGATCCAAATTAGTCATTTAAGGCCAGTGTAAATGCTATATTAATCTCGCAGAGTAAGCACTGAATTATATGCTGTAAATGAATAAACGCTATTGTAGTCAATAAGAAAAAGTAACTTTTCGCAAAACCTACCATAAAATTCTGATTTTGACGCACACGGCAGCCCTGTCAATATTGCTCTTCCGAACATTTTCTCTAACAGCTGACGCACATAAGAAACGAAACAGCTGCGAGAATAAGTATAGAAAAAATTAAAAGTAAAATTTTGCAGTAAGTGTAATATCTCTTTAAACTTTTAATTGTGTATTAAATTAATAATTTAATAAAATTATGTTTTCTAATGTTAATTTGAAGAATACTAAAGTAATTATTTTAAAGATTTTTATGTTATTATTCTTAAATATAATATAATAAAAATTTAAGATCGGCAGAACTAAGAATAACAATAATAAACAAACGAATAAATTGTTGTTGTTTTTGCAGATTAATTCAAAGAGAAATTAATAATAGACGAACTTAAGCATAAAAGCAACGTGTGCATTTGAAATTGGACCAAATAAGCCAGCGCTGGCATCAGCTGGGGGCCAGTGATTAAATATTTTAGGTGCTGCAATTGACAACGAAGAAGCGCTGAGCTGGAAAATATGTGAATAAAATAGAGCAAAAAGTGAGGCTAATTATAATAGAACAAAATGAAAGAAAATTGAGCTAAATGAATCTAGTAGTAGCAGTTAGGCGATTGATTACAGAATGGAAGGTATTAAATGTCGCATAGAAATTAATGTGTTCTATATTCTAAATTAATAATTATAATTCTATTATAATGATGTATTTGATATTAAAGTTTTTTTTATTTCAGAATATATATGAATTACTGGAATTATGCTGTAAAATCTGTTAACATATTGATATACTTAATAATAATTAACATATTACTCAAATTCATCTAAAAGCAACGAAGTAAAGCTCAATTATTGATGTTTTTGCTCAAATAAAATAAAAATATAAATACGCCTCTAACTGACGATACTATGAATCTCAACTTACATCCACAAGTGCAACGTAATTAAATAATCTCACCCTTTCCACAACGTTTACCTAAAATGCGTACAAAAAAAGTTTTTGCTATTGTGGGTTTTATTATAGTTTGGACTTTTTTTACGTATTTCTTGCTATGTTCACAAATCGAATTTCCACTGCACAAAAATCGTATATCACAGCTGAATCAATTAAGAGCTGATGCTCAAAAAGAATATAAAAAGAGTGAAAGTCATTTAGTACGTCTTATGGATATATTAAAAGCAAAATATTATGTACCACAGCTCACACCAGGTCCTGTTAATATTGTAGCTTTATCAGGTGAAGAACCATTAGGATTGTTGCAACCACCAGGAGAGAACATAAATCTAAATAGTAATAATAATGTGCTGATGCAAGAAGGAATCGATCAGCTTGCATATAATAATTCTATCACAAAAACAACAATAGCGTTACCTACAAAACCTGCCATAACGCGTTTACCAAACGGAGAGCCAGTAATACCGATTCTAGTATTTGCCTGTAATCGTATATCAATCTCCAAATGTCTCAACAATTTAGTTCAATATCGACCGAGTGCGGAACAATTTCCAATTATTGTATCACAGGTAAAAAATATATTTTAATTTAATATTTATTTTGTAATTTTTGATTTCGTAAAATATTTAAATATTATAATTTCAGGATTGTGGTGATGAAGCAACCAAAAATGTCATATTATCATTTAAATCTACAGTGTCACTCATTGAGCAACCCGATCAGTCTGATATATATGTACCACCGAAGGAGAAAAAGTTCAAAGGTTATTATAAAATAGCTCGGCACTATGGTTGGGCACTGAACACAACATTCCATAAAGGTTATGAATTTGTTGTAATAGTCGAAGATGATTTAAATATAGCACCAGACTTCTTTGAATATTTCCTTGGCACACACAAACTATTAAAACAAGATCCAACGCTCTGGTAAAATAATTTAATTATTTTTCTGCAGTTCGAATATATTTTAATTATTGTTTTTAATAGGTGTGTTTCAGCTTGGAATGACAATGGCAAAGCCAATTTTATTGATACATCACAACCTGAATTATTATATCGCACAGATTTTTTCCCTGGTCTTGGTTGGATGCTAACCAAAGAGTTATGGCAAGAATTGTCAGTGAAATGGCCTAAATCGTAAGTTTGTAATTTATATAATTATCAACATATTAAAATTTTATAATTGAACAATTATTAATATAAATAGCTATAATTAGCTGCAGCAAGAATATTGTATATTGTGTAAAAACATTTCTGATTAGTTTTGATATGATAATATTGCATTTATACATATATATGAATTTATGTATGTACTATATAAAGTTTTAAAATATCAAAAGCTTAATTTGCAATGCCAAAGAAACACATTTATACACTTGAACTAATTTCAGTGTAGTTTTTAATCAGTTGTGTATTGCAATAAGTATTTAAACTTAAAGCTTTTGACTATAATTTATAAGAAAATACTGTAAAAATGAAAACTAGATTCTAGCAATGGAATTATATATATTGAACATCTGTTTTAGTCACTATTGAGACCTTATAAAGTTTAAAATTTAAACTGAGATATTTGGAGCATATTTCTAGTTGATATGTGCCGTTGAGTATTTAGAGAATGAAAGACTAATGTAGAGTATAGTTGTAGTTGAGAGGCATGTTATGAATAGGTGTCTTTATAATGTTCCTCTGCTTCTCTTGTGTGCATAAATAAGGGAAAAACTTGTTATGAACCAATTTGTTATACATATGGAATCTTAAAAAAAATAATGTATCAATAATGTGATGTATAATGTATCATAGATGACTCTTCGGTTGCAATGAAAATCTAAATACTGAAACTAATAATCAGTTACAATGATTTGTACCAGACTTTTATCTGTTATGTTATCATTGCAAGGAAACTAAACTCGCTTAAGAAATCCAATAACATAACATAAATATTTAAAAAAATTGTTATGCTTTAAACTAAATAATATTTATATATATATATATATTATTTTTATAAACATAATTTTTTAACAAAATTGTAATTATTTTAGATTTTGGGATGACTGGATTCGTCACCCTGAGCAACGCAAAGATCGCGTGTGTATTAGGCCAGAAATCTCTAGAACTCAAACCTTTGGTAAAATTGGAGTGTCCAAGTAAGCTTGTCGGTTTAATTAATTAAATTAAATTAGCTAATATATTTTTATATTTAAAGTGGCTTATTTTTTGACAAATATCTGAAACACATTAAGCTCAGTGAAGATTTTGTAAAATTCACTAAACTGAATCTCAGTTATCTACTTAAAGTAAGTAAATATATACTGTAATTTTTAAAAAATTACAATTTCCTAATATTTATATTTATTTTTTTAATTATTATGAAATTTTAGGAAAATTATGATCGCATATTTTTATCTAAAATCTATACTTATCCAATTGTTACTTATGACGAACTAAGAAGGAATCTCATTAAAACAGATGGACCAGTACGAATTCAGTACACCACAAGTACACAGTATAAGCTAACTACAAGAATGCTGGGCTTGATGGATGATTTCAAGGTAATAAATATATTAAATTACAAAATAAATTACTATATTTGAATATCTATATAATACAGAGTGGTGTTCCTCGCACTGGCTATCATGGCATAGTTTCATTTTATTATCAAAAAAGACGAGTTTACTTAGCACCAAACGCAAACTGGAAAGGATATGATTTATCTTGGAGCTAACAAAACATACTTATGTAACAGTTTAGTCTTTTACGAAGTTCTAAATAATTTAAGTTACTGTTTTCTTTTCTTGTGCTTACTTTTGTTTAATTATTAGTTAGTATATGATATTAACTATATTTATATTTTATTTTAAATATATTATTTTATATTAAATTATTTGTTGTGTATATATTTCGTTGACTAAACACTTTCTTTACTTGTCTAGCCAATTATCATATTTTATTATAAACTATTAATTTAAGAACTATTCCAAATCTGTACTATATGTTCACAATTCAACAGATACCACCTTTAACATTTATTTGAGAATGTTATTGCATTTCCGTAAAGAATAAAAGAAATTTAAATCAAAACTACTAAACAATATAATATTAATATAACTACAATTTAATGAATAGAATAAATTTAAAGCTATTATGTGTAAATAACATAGTTATAGAATAAGTAATTAATTATATTATTAGCGCTCTATTAATTTATTATAGTTATATTTATAATTATTTACCTAAGTTTGTGTGTGATCATCATAGCTATAATAAAACTAATTTATTTATACAAATTTTGTAATTAAATTCAAATTAATTGTAATTTAATGTGATTTGATTTAAAATGTTTCTAAATTATGTATACGCAGTAAATAATTGCTTACATTATTGTAAGGTACTGTACTTAGTTAACAAGTTATATTGATTTAGAGATATAATGGTTTTCTATTAGCAATAATATAAGCCTAAAAATTGTAATTAGTACAAAAGTAAAATATGTAATTATTTATCTATATATATACATGAATTATAAAATTTGTATAGTCAAAGTTAAATAGTATATGCAATAAGAAATAATTGTGCCACTTTATTCAAAATTTTGAAATATTTATTGAGTACATACATAATTTAGACCAATTTGGCAAAATCAATTTACAAATAATCGGTTTTTTACAACTTTACTTCCTTGAATAAAATTTTAAAAATTTAATTATCAATAACTTGAAATGTAATTGACGTCTTTTAATTTTATTTATAGTTCATCGGGTTCATCGATTTGTTCGCAATCAATGTCACTACATTCACTTTCCGCTGTTTCATTGTTAGTTTTATTCCTTTGCGTTGTAGCTAACCCAGCATGTCCGTAATCCATAGATTTGCCAGATAAACTATTTCCATTACTTAATTTATGCTCTAGAAAATTTGCATTTGTATCACCAAAAACACGTTCCAACTCTGCTAATCCGTTTGTGCTGCTCGCTTCCGGTTCAGGCGGTAGAGTTAAATTTTGCAGAGCATTGTACTTAAGTTGAAAATAAGCATCCGATGCGGCATCTGTTCCATTAAAATAATGTGTATTTACTGTTGAATTTGGCATCATATAATCCACAAATCGTTCATTACTGTTTATGTAAGGTTTTGAAAGAGTTGACGGTATTCGTTGCATATAGTTGGCACCTATACATGGCTGTTTACTGAGAGTACTATAGGGCGTGGTATAGTTCAATGGTTGTCCACGTGCTAGTATTGCATTGCGTGCAGTCTCTAGAACATTGACATTATGTGCTGGCATAGTTGACATTAAATTATTAGGGCTTGCACCATTCGGATTTGAATATGGTCGCATGGCAGCAGGTATAGGTTGAGTCGTACCACCACCATTTAGCATAATTGATTGTATGGGTGTTGGACCTGTTGGTGTTTGACTAAATAGCCATAAGCGATCACCAACAACCATAGGCCTCGCCAAGCCACCAATGCCCAGTTGCGCGTAATAATGAGAAGCTAATGTTTCCACGTCGGCAGTGTATTTACGCTTCCATTTTGTACGACGATTTTGAAACCAAATTTTTATCTAAATATTTCATTGAATTATTAATATTAGATTTAATTGAAATTAACTTAATTATAAAAACCTGTGTTTCTGTCAAGTGCAACTGCTTGGCAAGTGCTGTTCTCTTGGCGACAGAAAGATATTTGCCGCGTTCAAACTCCGATTCCAGAGCTTTTATTTGTGATGCCGAAAATGCAGTGCGAGGTCTCTTTTTTCGATCGTCATTCGAATCTGAAAGCAAATTAATTTAAGTAATTTTTCATTTTGTTAAATTAAAATTATAATTTTTATCAGAAGTTGCAAAAAAAGACAATCTGTTACTTGTTGTCATTTAGAAGACAAGGATTCAATAAAGTATATGACTTGTTCCCATATCTGGATGCTTTATTGCAGTTTCCCACCATGAAACAAAATCAGAACCTGGACGAATATTATCACAATGAAAGCAGTTCTAAATGACAAATAGAAAACTAACCCCAAAGTAAAGCTAACGCTATCCTGGGATAGGACAAGGTCTCTGGAAAGAAGGGGAGGAATTTAGAGCGTGTGAATCGTGCACGCACTCTCCAGAACTCGAGTTCGATCACTTACAGTTGAGATGATGTTTAAACATTGAAAATATTAAACAAAAAATTTTCTAAATAAATTTTTTGTGAGTTCAATTTCTGGATTTCAAAGTGCTATTATTTGCCATTTCTCTTTGATACTTTGACCGCCATTATTTTTCTTCTTCGCTGTTTAATGATGTTGTTTATTTTTTTATATATTATTATATATATATTCAAATGCAATTGTCTACTGTCTGCATGCTTGAAAGAATCGAGTAGATTCCTTCGAAATTGATATGAATTAAATTAAAACTGATTTAATTTTAGTAGATTTTTTTTAAATACATGATATTGAAATACGATATATGAAGTTGAGTGTTTAAATATAATAATAAATAAATAATAATAATATTGAAGATACAGTAATTAATAACGAAGATCAAACGTGACTGCAATTAAACAATATTATGTTTATCTATGAGATATAAAAAAAAATTAAAGGTAGAGTTTTTGACAAGATTTAACGTCTTTATTGACACCTCTAGTCATACTCCGCCAAATGAAATGTCTCTTTATTTAGTTAATTTTTTAAGTAATACCGCAGAAAAATTATTCTTTGCGGTTATCATAATATCTCTTCAGGGCATTTCTTATAACATCTTGTAATTTCTTGTTATATCATCTATGTAAGCTTTGTCGTCCTTAAAAGTAGCCATATTCGATAGAGCATTAAGAAGGTTAATTCAAAAAGATTCAACAAAAATAACATTCTTGTTCACTTCGAACTTGGATTTTTTATAGAGAATAGAGAATGAGAATTCTCTTTTATAGAGAATGAGGTATGTCAGTAAGTTGAGGATGGTCTGTTTTGACCACAAAGTATTTGCCGTATATATACGGTTCCAAATAAGTGATAACTGAATGTATAGCGGTGGACTATTGAGCTCTTGCTTAATGGTGGAGTTAACATATAACATTATCTTTGAGTACAAGTCTTTGAGGTATAGGCATCTTGAAATTGTCGCCCTTAGTATTTCTCATTAAATTCTACGTTGTAAGCTTGTTCACTTGCAGATGTACTAATACAGAATTCTTTTATAATGTTTGAATATTGAAACAGTATAGAAATGAGTAATTATATCAAAATCTATGTATAAAATGGTAGTAATCTGTTGCTTATATTTTTTAAATTGAACAATCTGCGCTAAGTTGTTTCCATTTATGTTAAAATTAGTAATTTATATCACTATTCTAACTCTTAGAACTCTTCTATCGTTCTAAAGTTTAGAGTTAGTATCTGCTGTATTCTTAGATTTTTAATCTTCATTCTTTTAGAGAGACATTTAGAAAGTGACCGTCAAACAATCTAAATAATTTGCAATAGCAAGACAAATGGGGTTTCTATAATTGCTCACTAATTGGTAGTGACATTCAGGTTGTTAGGAACATTATCGAATTAAAAAAAATTGTTTTCTTTTAGTCAAAGTAATTATCAAATTAATTACAACAATTGAAACAAATCGTAATGTTAAGTTTGCCAAAAACTAATTTTCGGTACAAAAACTTGGCAGCATCAAGGAAAGAAAACTAGAAATGGAAATGGCTAACATTAAATAGAAATAATTTAGCCATTTTGCTAAATTATTTAAAAATAAAATTCTAAATATCTAAATTTTTAATAAATTTGTCAGATTTTGATTGGTGGTTTGTAGAAACGCTTACGTTCTTCACTTCAAAAGATTCTAATTGGTCATTTTGCAAAACATTTCGAGATACTTGGGCAGCTGAATTTAGTGTCACAAACGAGCTAAGTTATTGCCTCATTGACGTTACAAAATAGGGAAATATTTTTTGTTTAAACTATCTGTACTCGTATTTTTATTATAAAATATATATACAACAAAATAATAAATATATATATATATAGAGACACATGCATCACATCACAGTTCTTGCCATAAGGAAATATCGGCTAAATCGTGTGTGAAATCTCACTTTAAGTGTAATTATTATGTGGGTGACAGAATATATCACTCACTAAAGCTCATTAGCACAGATTGAAATATTTTTTAAACGTAATTATATTTTTGTTTATGTATAAATTATTTTAAAAAATTTTAAATCTATTTTTAAATTAATATTAAATTTTAAATTTAAAAGCAACTGCTGTAGTTTAGTAATTAAGAATGACAAAATTAATTCAATAATTTTTAACTTGAAGCTTTGTATATAAAATTGTTTATTGGGAATATCACAATATCACAATTAATATCGAAATATGCGGAAACATCGTAAGCAAACGTAAATAGAACACGTGATTGATAATTCTATTAGGAATGAAATAGAAGATTGTTCAAATTTTCTCTTTGGAACGTCATACAGTCATACAGTCGAGAGTTTGAGGATTGTCCACATAAACACGGTCTCCACAAAACGTAGATAACAAAATACTTAATTAAAAAAAGTAAAAAAAGTTTTAATGCATGTAATTATGTTACAACTAGAATGTAATAGTATTAATACTACCAAAAGTGTTAAACCAAAAAGGACAAAATATACGTCACCATAAATACTATATACTATAATATATATTTGTACACTTTATAAAACCTTTATTTGATTTTTACCATAAAACCATAAAAAAATTGAGACCTACTATTCCCTTCGGAATTTCAATATTTTCCCAGAAGTTAGAACACTACGATTACAACGACACACATATTAGATTCAGAAGAAGCTATGGATCAAAAAGCGATGTTTTACATTTATAAAATGTGTGAAGAAGTAGTCCATATCTTGTAATTATGATAAGCTTTTAATCGCATACATGTTATAGGTTTACTTTTTTGAGGATCTTGGCCAACTCAATGACCGCTTTTTAAAGAGCATTTTATAATCAAAGTGAAAGGTTCAATGTGTTTTTTGAACCTTTTAGTTTTTGTACGGTACACAATGTGCTAATAGGCTTAAATGGATCCTAAAGTTCGCTGATATAACCGAAATTAACCTAACCAAATCGCATATATAAAATTTTTTTGTATCTAAAATACAAGTTAGTCAGCAGTTACCGGATTTAGAAAACTAGGTTTCTAAATGAATTTAATCTGCGTTTCCATTTAGACATATTGATAATAAAGTTAAGATGTTAAAGTCTGTGATAGTTTCGATCAATTCAAATAATGAAGATTGTATTCGAAACTTCTGGTCGACAGTTATGAGTGTCAACTCTTTGGAGAGGAAAGAGGCACAACCGAGTTGAAGTTTACTACATAACTTGTCATTCTAAACTACAGCCGTCGGCGAACTTGTAATTCTGCGGATTGAAAAATGTGTAGGTCTATACTTGAGATTATGTCATTGTAATTGAAGTATGATATTTTAAGTAGATATCAAATGATGATTGGCCGTATTTGTGTAGAAAGCGTTAGACTTTCTCAACAAAACTAAAACTAACAATTGCTTACGAGACTTATATTGAACTACGCTATCATCTTCATAAGATGAGACTTTACAACTTAACTTTGCCAGTAAAACAGGATATTACGGTGAAGAATACTGTTCCCGTTAGTAATCGTAACATAAAAATTGTGATCATATGTATGTGCCATTTGTGCATAGATCTGAGGCAGTATTTTTTACTGACTAAAGGCTGACATTTTTATTGTTCTAATAGTCTATTGTTGTGATATAATACTTCTATTAAAACTATATATATCTATATGTATCTATATATTTATATATATATAATTTGTATTTGCTGTTTATTATTCGATTTAAATCAATTAATTAATTAAAGAATTTGAATAAAACATTTCTTAAATAGAAAAAATTTCACACGTCATATTAGATATTAATGGTTTTTATGACATTAGACTAATCTTGTTGGGAGTCCTTCGTCAAGATTATTTATTTAACTAGTGGAAAATGAACGATCGCAGTCAAATATAAATACATTGTACATACTAATCTTTTTAAATAAAGGCAAGAGTAGTGACGATTCTTGGGTAAATAAATTTAGAATGTAAAAAATAATCACTTCATTATACATTCTGCAAATACGAAACGTGTTTAAAGTTATATCGGAGTGCTATTATCGGAGTGCTACCTATATTGGAGTTAATATGTTGAGGTAACGTTATTACTGGTTCTATTCAAATCTTTTTTAAACTGTTTAATTCTTTTGAGTCAACAATGGAATTGAGAAAAATGTGGATCTTCTTCACAAATCGTACACTACACATAAGATTTATAACATTTTAATCCAAAATGATAATACATGTAACTCACTACTTTCATCTTCGGAAGCTGCTTCACTCTTAGAATCCTCAATATTGTCATCATTGATGCTAGATTCCGGACTTGATACACGTAATTCCAAATTTTGTTCACCATTCGAGTGGTGAGTAGAAAATATGCTTCTGATTACACCTTCGGCATTATTGCAATTGTTCACGTTATATTCACTATTAGACGATTTGGCGAGTATATTTTCAATTGAAAAACTATGTGGAAATCGTCGTACAACCGATTGTGTTTCCATATTCAATAAGTTTTTTATTTAAATTATAAATTCAATATTAATATTTAAATGAATTATAATTCAACACTACGTTTATTCCCGGTCGGCATAAGTAGCACAAACCAATCTGAAATATCTTTAAGCACTGAACAAGCACTGAATCAGTGGAGCATCCTTGGTTCTGTGAAAGTTTCTTGTGAATACTTCGAGAATCCAATAAAACATTTTTCTTTTCGAATAGGTTGTGTGTGTGCAAAGGAGATAGCAACAATCTCGATACGATCCACTTCAAAATCTAAAATATATTTTTAAAACATGTGTGAAATTCGTACTGCCTCTTTTGTAAACACAACCGTATGTGTTTTATTTGGTAGGCGTGCCTCCTCTGCTCGAAGAGATTTAAGTACTCGCATGTGTTGGCTAAAACGTTTCTTAAATACTTTCATAATTGTTATATTAGTATATCAATGATAATGAATAATTCTTTCAACTAATGAACTACAAGCAGGACAATTAAGAAATCTCATGAGTTATTTGATGTTTTAAATATTTTCATTATTAGATATTTATATATGAATATATATCTATATACATATATTTTCACAATGACATTTTCTTAATGAATGTTTTTGAACAACAGAAATTATGAACCAGTTAAATATCATAATTAATTTTTTTTTTGTGATTTAGTTTGATTTAGTTGTGATTTAGCACACAAAAATATTATTATTACTGATAATTTTAAAATATTTTGCAATTAAATATTTATACAAAATTTTAAGCAAAAATTTAAAAGAACTTATCGAATATGCATATAGAATAATTATAATTATAATTTTTTTCTATTTTTGAAATAATTTGCATTTTAATGTCAGTTATGATGACAGTGATTATTTTTTTAATCATTAGAAACTATAGTATTTACTACTGTTCGACACCTCTCTATTTTTCAAATACATATATATTGTAATGTGACTAACATAACATTTCAGACAACTGCCCAGCAAAGGAGATTACTTCGTCCTTTTGTCTATAGAGAGTTTATTAACCGACTGTATAGTTTCACGAGACTATACCGGCCAGATGGGACAGCGTGACAGTACGCCGTCTCTTTTTTGGAGAAGAATACAGGATTTATAGTTGGGCGATTTAACGGATTATAACTTTCCATAGAAGGATTTGGGGAATTATCTCTCATGTAGGCAAATGATAAACACAAGTGTATAGTAATATTGTTAAAATAGACTACTATTAGAAAATCTTAATGGTATAAAGATTATCTCCTAAAAAAATTTATTTCTATATAAGATTACAATTTGCTGGAGTAATGCAAATTCTCTTTGCTTTTAATGTAGAGATTGTAAGAATTATTATTTTATTTTATATCGATATTAAACTTTCTTTGTTTAAAAAATATAATTGGAAAAATTGATTTGTTCGATAATGAAAATGAAAATTTTCGATAAAACCCTTAGCGGATATTATTAAGTAATATCATCTTAAATAACCCCGACCCCCTTTTTTCTTTTTCTCCTTTTCTATATCTAAAGCTTTAACCAAAATCATCACTTTGAGGAAAACATTTGGAGCCGATATTGGTCATATATAGAGTGCGTTCAATGATTAAAAGACAACACCTCAAAAAACTTGCAAAAACTACATGAAGGATTTTGTCATTTAATGTCATAATTGATTTGCACTCCATGGGCATACTATACCATTTTGTCGATTAAATGATTAAAAGACTATACCTCAAAAACCTTACAAAAGCTGCATGAAGGATTGAGTCATTTAATGTCATAATTGATTTGCACTCCATGGGCATACTATACCATTTGGTATGTTGTCATTGTAAATGAGTAATGTAATTATTTTTTATTAAGTCTATATTATAATAAATTTGATTTAATATGTGATTTAAAAAACGTTAAGCAAAAAAAACACTTGTAGTTCTCTTATGGCGTTTTCGATTAGAAAATCTGGATTCAATCTATATTTACTCTTGATTTGTCAAATTCTGTTGCTCTATCAAATATTTTTAGAGTAATCTAAAATTTTTGTATTCGTATCAGTAGATATTTATATTTGTCAACAGTGCATATATCGAATTAAATCACAATTAACTAGTCCTCATGTAAAACAGCTGTTAATTTTAGTGTAATCTTGCTACTCTAGCAAAATATCTAGAGTGTTATAAATTAATATTAAGTGTTATACATTAATCTTAAGTGCTATACAGATTTACCAATCAAAAATTAAAATTGTATTTGAGGTGAATCTCGATTAAAAAAGTTACCCCAGATTTACCAATCGAAAACGCCTTACTATGTACCACCTGAAGTTTTTCAACTCTACTAATAAAATGTCATCATCAGCTGTAGATGTGAAGATCTTTTTTAATGAAAAAAGGATTTGGAAAGATTAGGAATAGTTTTCTTCTTAAACTCATAGATTCTGAAATTTCTCTGTATCATAATAGATCAGTAATATTTTTAGATTGCCCGAAGAATTCTAAACTTTTTACCATAACTGAAAATATATTACGAACTTAACAAAAATAGATTTATTAAAAATCGTCAAATAAAAAGCAAATATTCAAATGTTTCAATTACTTGATTTTTAAAATTAATTAAAATTTTATAAATTTTTCAATTGAAGATTACTCAAATGTTAGAAAAGGACAGCAAACAAAATGGAGAAATCAGTATTTTTGATAGAGAATTTTAATTGGAAGTGAGCCAAAAATATGTTTCAGGGTGTTGATCTATGGCAATATTCTGAGTACATCTTTATCTTTCGTATATTTAAGAAAGGTGAATATTTTAATAAAAATTATACAGAATTGTTACCCTTGTCTACTTCGCGTATCTGTACATTTATGTTCATTGATATGTAATAAAGTAAATTATGCCCCGTTTGTCAACTAATATGACAAGGCGTGCAGTGAGTGTCGAGCTTATTTATCCTCAAATATGTCAAGTTGATTTAATTTAATGATCAAATTTGCCGAGTGCATTATTTTCACAAATGAAAATGACAACTTAATTTTCTTAATTGCAAATAATGAATCTGTGCGTATTGCCTGACATTTTTTAAATATTCCCTATTCCCAAGGAATGACGGTTGGAGATGGATAAGAACAAAAATGGCGAATATAAATTTGGAAAACTAAAAAATCCCAATTGGGATTGCAAAGGCGAGTATTTGATATTAAAAATAATGGATGAAATAACAAATAATTGTATACATTGGAATTAAAACTAATGATATATTTCGAATTTATTTTTATAATATAAATGTAAATAATTTTTCTCACAATAAATTTTTACTATTACAGTTAAAATTCCAATTCCTGCAATTTTTATATTTTGAAACCGAATTCGATTCAACTGCAACTTAAAAAAATCTTACTCCCATTTGGCATTAAATGGAGCAAAACCGTGTCAAAATTTAATTAATACTAATGCATGCATCTTCATTATAAATCATCACATTTCAAGTGTTTGTCACCAAAAGCGCATAAATCACGTGACTCGTGTGGACGTCCTCTTTTTTGTAATTCGTATGAAAGACCAAAACCTAAAACACTGTAGAGTAAGAAACATTAATTTACTCGGTAAAGACTCCGCTATGCCACGTAATATGTCCTCTTCCCAAATGATGTCTTCGACTTTTGCTTGGGTTTTTTTTCTTTCATTTTTTTTATTTCTTGAAACATCTGTATTTCTTTTTTTATGTGGTAATCTTGTGGCTATTGAGCAATCTTAGGCGGGAAGAGAATTGGGATTTTTTTTTGAAAAGTTATTCAAATTTCATAAACTTATGGGTAAAAAATTCAGTACGATTTCTGCTACTCCTTCATGGTGTCAGTGCTATTTTGGTTTCCAATTACGAAGGTGAATTTTTAGGAAAGGATTCTGATATATTTTTCGCCTGCATGACTTTGTGTACCATGTACAATGACCTTCTTGAATCTTAGGAAGAGTAGTAAGATTAATTTGTTTGGTGTTTGTTTTCGTGAATAATTTGAGTGTGTGACATTAATGGGTAATTTGAGATCCAACTATATAGAAAAACACTAATTATTTTAATGACTTAAAGTGAAATATTGTATAAATATTGTATATAAGACTTTAAATATATTACACAATAATAATTAATATTCATAAATTTTCAGAAATATAAGTTCCAACAATCATTTTATATTTATAATTGAAAAGACAAAAAAGGTTTTATATTTTTGTTCTATCATATAGTCTTGATTGAAAAATCATTTTTCAACTTTTCAATTCATTTAATCATAGTATTCATATGATATAAATTATTAAAATCCTTATACGCAAGATTATATAAATAAAATGCATTATAAATGCCACAAATCGGTTCATATATCCGGTATCCAAATATCCGGTTCACAAGTAAATGCCAATATATTTCACTGAATGTACCTATGTCAGTGTTTCTTAATCCCATCTTTGAAAGAGAAATATTAGAAATATGTTCAGTTAATATTAGTTCGAATCTGTTTAGACCATATCTCAGTTGGAATCTATTTCAACCAGGGGGTATTCAGTGGTACTACGGATATACCATACAACATATACAATAACTATTCGTCTATCTAAGAAAAATAATTTTTTTTTTGTGAAAAAAGTCGGCTTTATTTCTCTATATACTTTTCTAGGCAAGTGACAAGGCAAATGTGTCTGAGTTACGCTTTAACACACCGTGTCTTTTAATTCTTCTGCAAATGATCGATGTCTTTTTGTAGTATGAATTGTCTTTGTTCTCAAAGTAAGCCTTCGCTTCGGTAATAACTTCAAGCATATTATAGTCCAGATTTTAATAGCTTACATGAATAATTGTGCGAAAGTTTCCCATTAAAATGACTGGATGCAACTGTCACACTGTTTTTAAGTTTTGACCTAGCGATTAACTAAATATACACACTCGATACTAATATAGAGTCTCTGTTTTTTAATATTCCTCTTCTTCTTCTTTTAGATTTTATCATATTGAAATTGAAAGAAGTTGAAGTTGCAGAAATTGCCATTATAAGTAATAGTTGCACAAAGGAGTGAGAATGGATTCTGGC